TATCTTAAAGTTGTCTTGATTTGCATTTCCCTGATCGCTAAGGAAGTTGAGCATGACCTTAGGTGTCTTTTGGCCATTTGAACTTCTTCTGTTGAGANCTCAGTGCCCCATTTTATAATTGGGTTGATTAGCCTTTTACGGTCTAGTTTCTTGAGTTCTTTATATATTTTGGAGATCAGACCTTTGTCAGTTGCAGGGTTGGTGAAGATTTTCTCCCAGTCAGTGGGTTGCCTTTCTGTCTTAGCAACAGTGTCCTTTGCTTTACAGAAGCTTCTCAGTCTCAGAAGGTCCCATTTATTCAATGAGGCCCTTACTGTCTGTGTTGCTGGGGTTATACGTAGGAAGTGGTCTCCTGTGCCCACGTGTTGTAGAGTACTTCCCACTTTCTCTTCTATGAGGTTCAGTGTGTTCAGACTGATATTGAGGTCTTTAATCCACTTGGACTTGAGTTTTTGCATGGTGATAGATATGGATCTATTTTCATTCTTCTACAGATTGACATCCAGTTTTGCCAGCACAATTTGTCGAAGATGCTCTCATTTTTCCATTGTATACTTTTAGCTCCTTTATCAAAAATCAGGTTTTATTTAGGGTTTTGTGAGAATTCGATCATGAAATATGTCTTTCTTCTGTTCCTAATCAGATTCCTAGAGTGTATTACATCATTTAGTGTCTGAGCAATGTCCTATAGCCTCCCTCCTCCTTTCCTTTTCCTTCATTCCTCCCTTTCTTTATTTTCTCTCCAAGTCTTTGCTTCACAGTCATCTACAACATTTTGGTAATTTAACAAATATCAATCCTTTCCTAGAATTTCTTCTTGACTATCAATTGAGGAGAAGGGATTTCTTAGCCATGTACATTTGTGGTTTGTAAAAGTTAATTAATTTATTTAATAAATTAATTTAATTTTACTCAAGCTGTATGTGCAAGTACAGCTGCACACCAGAAGAGGACATCTGATCTTACTACATACGGTTGTAAGCTACCATGTCATTGCTGAGACTTGAACTCAGGACCTCTGGAAGAATAGCAGCCAGTGCTCTTAACCTCTGACCCATCTCTACAGCCCCTACACTTATGGTTTTAAAGTGAACTTTTAAGTTTCTATAATTATTATTGATAGGGAGATTAGGTTTGCCACAACATGATCATATCTTTTACTCCTATACCTCCACTTCAAACTTTCTACTTCCTCCCTGTGGCGGTCTGAATGAGAATGCCCCCTATAGGCTCATATATTTGATACTTGGTTCCCAGTTGGTGAAGCTGTTTGGGAGTTGTGGCCTTGTTGGAGCAGATGTGTCATTGGGGTGGACTGTGAGATTTCCAAGGCACTGAGTTCTCTCTCTGGCTCAGGGTGTGAGCTCTCAGCTATTTCTGCCTCCACACCTTCATTCTGCCATTGTGGAACAATTAAATGTTCCTTTGTTGTTGTTGTTTGTTTTATAAGTTTCCTTGGTCATGGTATTTTGTCACCACAATAGAAAAGTAAGTCAGTCCCTTACCTGTTTCTTATGGGTAAATTTTCTAGACAGCCTATAGTGTCACTTCACAAATCCTTTTGGAATAAAAGCTCAAACAAAAGACAAATACACGAGTTGATGTTAATATGGTACAAATTTCATGTGGTCATATGACTTGATGGGGAAGAATCTTCTGTTTTGTGTTAATTTCATTGGTTAAATAAAGAGACTGCCTTGGCCCTTTAATAGGACATAAAATTAGGTAGGCGGAGTAAACAGAACAGAATGCTGGGAGAAAGAAGCTGAGTCAGGGAGTCGCCATGGTTCTCCCACTCCAGACAAGACGCAGGTTAAGATCTTTCCTGGTAAGCGCACCTCGTGGTGCTACATAGATTATTAGAAATGGGTTAAGAGGCTGAAACTAATGGACCAGACAGTGTTTAAGAGAATACAGTTTCTGTGTAATTATTTCAGGTAAAGCTAGCTGTGCGGGTAGCCGGGTGCCGGGAAAATAGCCCGCCGCTCCTAACACAACAATGACTTCTCTATGTTCCATGGGAAACAGAAATATGCAGTGGTAGAAAGTCAGTTCGTTTGCTTTGGCCTAAGTAGAGTAAACAGGAAGGCACACTACAATCTGAGTAAGAGGTGGGTAGGGCACACTGCTGTGACCACATCTCTAGATGTTTCTGCAGTGCGTCTTCCCTCTCTGGACACCTTCCACGTTGAACGTAGGGCTTTCTTGTCTTTTTCAGTGTTACCCAGTGTTTCATCTTTATGTCTCTTACTTCATAATGATATCCAATCCCAGAGGAAAAGGAGAAGCAAGTAGCTGAAGGTCTTCAGACAAATTTGGACTAAGACGAGCCTAAATAAGTGAGAGGCTGTCTGGCAGAAATCAGTCTTTCTCAGGTCACAAATCCTTACAATTAGGAAATATGCCTGTTTTAGTTACTTTTCTATTGCTGCGATAAAACACCATGACAAAAAGAGACTTGAGGGGGACAGGGGAAAGGAATTGTTTCAGGTTACACTTCCATATCACAGTGCGTCACTAAGCAAAGTCAAGATAGGAGTCACTGAGGCTGTGGAGGAACACTGCTTACTGAGTTGTCCTCGAGGTGTGCTTGGCTTGTAGTCTGCTTTCTGTTACAATTCAGGACCGCAACAAAGACAGCACTGCCCACAGTGAGTCCTCCCACATCAATCATGCATCAGGATCCTGATGGGGCATTTTCTCAGTCAAAGCTCCCTCTTCAGAAAGGGCTCTAGCTTATGTCAAGTTGTCATAAAACTAACCTGCACAAGTGACCCATTATCAACCTGATACACAAATGCATCACTATTCAACTATAACCTTTCCTTTCTTGTTCACTCTAGGATTTCATAAAAGTATCAAGACCTCAATATAAAACACATTCCAAACGTTAAAAGTCCCCATCTTTAAAACAAAGTCTCTTTAAATGTCCAAAGTCTCTTTAAAATTCTAAAGTCTTTTAACTGTGGACTCCTGTAAAATAAAAATTGTAGCTAAATACTTTCTCTTCAAGAGAAAGAGCAAGGGCACGGTCCCAGTCAGCCCAGATCAAAACCAGGATCCAGCAGTGTCAGGCTCAGCATCAGGTTTCTCGGACTCACCGTCTTATAGACTCCAAAGGTCTTGAAACAGCCGACGCAGCGCACACAGCACTTCCCCTAGGTTTGGGGAGTGGTTGTAACTCATGGCAATTTTTAGAAAGAAAATATTTAATTGTGGTGGCTCACTCGCAGTTTCAGAGGCTCAGTCCATTACTATCTTGATGGGAGCATGGCCGCCCGCGTGCAGGCTGACGTGGTGCAGGAGCAGTAGCTGAGAGTCCTATAACTTGCTGGCAATAGAAAGTTGACTGAGACACTGGCTGGGTGGTATCCTGAGCAGAGGAAACTGCACAGCCCGCCTCCACAGTTTCTGTCACACTTCCTTCAACAAGGCCTTACTCAGCCCAGCCAAGCCACACCTCTTAATAGTTCCACTCCCCATAACATTATGGGGGCCCATTACACTCAAACTTTAGCTCAGTTTTAACCCCCCCCCCCCGTTCTTGTGGCCCTGGCACATTTGAACCATCAGGAGCTTTGACTATCTGCATGAGAGTTGCACAAAATTGTGCCATCAACATGCTGCCACTGCAGAGAGAAGGTCTCAGTAGTCACTCCTGCTCTCTGAGGGTTTATAGTGGTTGCTGAGTATATGTGTATGTGTGTGTGCGTTCACGTGCATGTGTATGTGTACTCGTGCATGCATGTGCCATTTTTGTCAGTGGGTAAATTGCCTATACTCTTGTAAGGAACCCCTTCCCCCCATGTTCCTGCAGACAACCCTTATTACACCCATGGTGTAACACACAAAAGGACATGGAAGTGGGAGGGAGCTCCTTCAAAAGAGCAAGGGGGTCAGCAGATGGGATGGATAAAAAGGGCATCAGGGAATGAATGGGACCAAAGTGCATCCAGGTACGAAAATGTCGTGAGGAAATCCATTACTACACATAACTAATATGTCCTAAAAACCTTTAGAAAGAGAGGAAGTAAAGATGTCCTTATGTATTTAAGTGGAAAACATGACTCAGTTAACTGATATTGCCTTTTATATAGAATTTATAAATCATATGCTACATATTTTAAGTACATATATATTTAAATAAGTTGTTTGATAACAATACAGAAAAGCATTTTAATTTCTCACCTATAGTAGAAGTACCTTTTGTTTTAAGTAAGTATTCATTCTTCAGTAAACCAACACCCAAGTTTGGAAGGGAATCTTTAGGAAGGACTGAATGAAGTCTGTACTACCTGGGACAGCTTGAGCCATCTTTTCTGTACAGCTCTCGAACTCCCCACCCCTGCCCACTGAGGGGCTGTTACAGGCCAGGGCAAAGGGAGACACCAACAGTATGCTGACATGCTACAAAGCTCAGACTTCCCGAGGAAAGATGCAGCAATCCTCCAGGACTAACCAGCTGCATCCTATCTTTCAGCTAAACTCTTTCAATTAGATGATGTTCTCCCCAATTTCATCACAAAACTTTGCCACAGAAATGCTCATATTCTGCATAAAACTGTTTACAAGAAAATGTGTTAGGATATTTTTATGAAATGAGAGATACAGGTATCTTTTCCAGGTCAACTTTGTAAACTCAGTCTGTCTTTTTTCTAATTTTAAATTTTATTTTATGTATATAGTGTTTTGTCTGCACATGTTGATGTGCCTCACACACATGTCTGGTGCCCACATAGGCCAGAAGTCGAGTGGAACTGAGTGGTGGTGCTTGTGAGCCATCATGTGAAGGCTGGGAATCCACCCCCAGCATCAACTTCCTCCAAAAGAACAGCTAGTGCTCTAAACCACTGAGCCATCTCTCCAACCTCCCTGATTTGCTTTTCAAAATCTGAAGGAAAGACACTTGAACAGAACAGGCATGTACTCGAGTGTCAGGATTCTAGGTATAGACATTTGCAGTGAGAGACCAGAGCAGACCAAGTATTACTAAGTACTCTTTAGATTACATAAAGATCAAAATGCATGCAAGGCTGGTAATTTCTGTGCATACACTGTGCAGCTACTAATCCTAAGTATGTGTCTCTGTCTCTCAGGAGCTCCTCATGTGTTCCCTGCTCTTTGATTTTTCCATTTTGTAGAACTACGATAAGATCTACATTCTGTACTGTGTAGAGTCTGTGAGCCACCACTAGGCAGGTCCTCCCTCTCCAGGCTTTTTCAAGGGCATGCTGAACCACCTGGAAAAGAAAAGGACCAAGTGACTGCCAGTTTGGAGCAGATGTTCATAAGTATGCCAAAGCTCAGCCATTAAAGTAATATAATGATATTTTTTGTTGCACTTGCTTATTCCCAGAGGAAATGTCAAAATGTGGTGGTTTGAAAGAAAATGGGCTCCTAAGGCAGTGGCGCTATGTAGGGCCAAAATTATCTCAGGGCCTGTACCTCGGAGGCCTATGAGACAGAAAAGGCCTGGCTCAAGTTCAGGGCCTATACTCTGAGGCCTGTAGGGCCGAGAAAAGCCTGGCTCGAGTTTGAGTGAGGATGAGACAGCAAAAACTAGGTAGCCGCTCCTCTAGCCCGGGGGAGAGTATGGCTGCCTCTCATTGGCTGGAGGCACCCTTACGTCACAGAGTGTCCCTTAACCTTTATAAGCAGACACTCACAGTAATAGACTGAGTTCCTGCTTTGACTCCACTCCCTATTGCATCTGATTGTCCTGCATTGTGGGGCTGCAGGCATGGGCAGATAGCACACTCACCTTTCCCTGAGAAATAAGGAGGCTCAGGAAGCCTAGCATCACCTTTAGGAACTGTGGCCTTGTTGGAGTAGGTGTGCTATCATTGAAGGTGGACTTTGAGGTCTCATGCATGCTCACGCCACACCCAAAAAGACAGACCGCTCCCAGTTGTCTGCTTATCAAGATGTAAAACTCAGCTCCTTCTTCAGCACCATGTCTGCCTGTATGCTGCCATGCCCACTATAACAATGGACTGAACCTCTGAACTATAAGCCACCCAATTAAATGGAGAAAAAATACTCAGAAGAGGACTGGGTTCGAAGAGCATTATGACAGCAGGTGTAATTGGAATGGTTATATAGGTAAGGAGATGGTCCAAAGCTCAATGGCAGGATTTCCATACCCGTGTCTCTTCGCCACCTCATTTTGTTCTCACTGCAGAAAATGTGGGGCAGTAGGATAAGCAGAATGGTCTCCCTAGAGCAGTTTCTTGCTTCAGACACAGACTAGTTGGTTTCGTACCAATTGAGAAGAAGTAACTGAAAGAGGACATCTTCCTCGAATTTTCTTGACTGGACATTCAGATTTAAACTCATTTTGATAGGAGAGAGATTCAGAGGAGAAAGCCTCTTCAGAACCTGATTGCTTGGCTTCAACCCTCTCTCTGCCATCTCTAGGACTTCATTTACCCAAACTGACCTTGGTCTTCATGATACTGCCCACTCCCATTTGACATGAAAAGACACAAGAAGGTGGTACCTTCTCGGGCTGAAGTGGCTCCATCCAGCAGTAAAATTTTTGGCTTTCGGAGAAGAGCCCTTGCAATAGCCAGTCTTTGTTTCTGGCCACCAGAGAGCTGCACTCCTCTCAGTCCAACTTGAGTGTTGTATTTCTGTTTCAGGAACATGCCATTAACAAAGAAAGCACTTTAACAACTGTGGGAGACAGACATCTAAGCAGTTCAGATTTCTCTACTCTTGAAAAGGGGAGTCCCAACAACAGCTGAAATCTATTCTAGGTTCTTTCTGCACCCCTGACCTGATCCCCAGGAGCAAACCTTTGCTGTTAGACTTCTCTAAAGGAACTTTCTGACTTCCTTTCTAGTGTCTCCTCTCTTCCTTTCCTTTCATTCATTTCCATTATTGAGATAGAGTCTCACACAAGCAGGCTGGCCTTGAAGTCTCCATGTAGCCAATGATTGTCCTGATCTTCTGACCCTCCTTTATCACCTCTTGAGTATTGGGATTAGAAGCCTTGCCAACATTCTCTGTTTATGTGGTACTGGTGATTGAACCCATGACATCGTATCCTAGGCAAGCAAATTACCAAGTGAGCTCCAGCTCAAGTTCCGAAAACGGAAACCTCAGAATTAAAGCACAAGGGGAAGAAAGTTCTTGATGAACACAGTTGAATTTATACTACCAGTTCAAAACATTTAAAACTACCAGGCAAAACATGAGGTTTCCTTCTTCGTGCTAATCCTCTACGAGCATGTCTGCAGATGGCAGGATGCAGTCCTCCCTGGGTACGTGTCTTCTGCAAGTCAGAGAGGCTGGCATTTGTGTCCCCTCCACACCGGATGCTCAGGATCACTTTCCGCCCCTCTCAGTGTCTCCACAGTGTTCCTACCACTGCTTCAACACAAACATCTGTCCTCATCAGGGGCCGTTCTCGTTCTTCTGCTTTTTCCCTTTTTGAGCCAGGGCCTCGAGGAAGTCAATCTTGAATTTGTTGTATAGTTGAGACTGCTCTTTAGTGCCCCTCCCTCTACCTCCCAATGCTAGAATTATCATATACAGGACCACACCCACACCCATAATGCTCTATGAATTCCTGGAAAAGCGAGCAGAAGACTAGCTTTCTACTGCTTCCCTATCTCTTTTAGTTAATTAATTAATTAATTAATTAATTAATTAATGTTTATGGTGTTGTGCCTGCCTGTGTGTCTGTAAACCACTCTGTGCAGTGTCCTTGAAGGTCAAAAGAGTGCTTCAGATTCCCTGGAATTGGAGGTTCTCCTAACTCCCTGTCTCCATCACTCTACGTCATCACTTTCATTGCCTCCGAATGAGTAAATATCCAGATCTAATCATTCCTATGCACAAGCCTTCGGGAGGTCTTAGCAGCTATTAAGGGTAAAATTCCTTTGCTTGCTGGACGGTTAGTCTTGATTACCCACTAATCTAGACAAGGCATGGGAAAGGAGTCCCAGTGAGGGATTGTTCAGATCAGGGTGGTTTGTGGGTGTGTCTTTGGGTTATCTTGGCTATTTTAACTGAGGTGGGAAGACAAACTCACTGTGGGTGGCAGCCTCCCTTGGAAGGGGGCCTGTTATGTGAGTAGAGAGATGGAGTTGAGCACCTTGGACGCATTCTTTGTTCTCTGCTCTTCACTGTTCAGATTCCTGCGGCCTTGACTTCCCCCAAGGTGGTGGGCTGTAACCTGGAACTGAGAGCCAAATGAATCCTTTCTACCTTAAAGCTTTCTTCAGGGTATTTTACAGAAGCTGGAGGAACCAGACTTGCTATTTAAGTGTTCCATCACACCGCCACACACTCTTAAATGCTACACTTGTGTATCTTCTTTTCCCTAGTCCAACCCCTATCTAGATCCATTCTTACTTATGACCTTTTTGATGTACACTGTCTTGGTGAGTTCTGGGATTTCAAGTGTGAGTCCCCCAGTGGGGACCACATCAGTTGTCTCTGTCACCATCCCTTTGCTCAGATCATATCCATGGGCTCACAGCAAAGAGGGTTCTTTGTGAGCGTCAGTGATTTCTGTATGTGTAGGACTGCACTCTGGTTGTCAGCCATCTTCCACAAGCTCAGTGCTTTGCAAAGAGTCAGGCTGAGTAGCTGCGTGTTGAGTTATAAAATTAATTCCCAGCTGTTTTTGTAGGGATGAGGAAAGGAAGTACAGATTTTGAGCTATGAGGACACGGCAGACAGGTGAGTACATACATTTGAAAGAAAGGTAAAATAAGTCCTCAGAGACTGATAGGGTGGCAACCATTAAACTGGCTAACTAGTTCCTGAAGGAATAAGATCACTAGAATCTAGCTGTCTGGGAAGAGTGCAGTACCTGCTGTATGTGGAGCTTTGTCATAGTTAGGATTACCAGAAAAACTAGCCTTGTCTTTCAGAGTTTTACATTGATACTGAGGTCTTATATTTAGACAGATGTTGATTGAAATAGTTTGTTTGCTTTAGAAAATCTATTCTTGGCCAGGAGAGGTGCCACATACCTTTAATTTCTGTACTTTTGAGGCAGAGGCAGGTGGATCTTTGTGAGTTACAGGCCAGTCTGATCTACATAGTTAGTTCCAGGTCAGCTAAAACCACATAGTGAGATCCTGCTTTTTAAAAAAAAAGCTTCTGGTAGTGGTGCCCACCTTTAATTCTAGTGTCTGGGAGGCAGATGCAGGCAGATCTCTGTGGGTTTGAGGGCAGCCCGATCAAGCACAACCAGGGCTACACAGAAAAATGCTGTCTTGGGACCGGGTGATAGTGGCGCAAGCCTTTAATCCCAGTACTCGGGAGGCAGAGGCAGGTGGATCTCTGTGAGTTCGAGGCCAGCCTGGTCTAGATGAGCTAGTTCCAGGACAGGCTCCAAAGCCACAGAGAAACCCTGTGTGGTTATTTAGGGTGTGAACTAGCTGGGCAGCTGGGACGAACAAGTGGGCCCTCTCCATAAAACACACACACTCTCTATCTGAAGGAAACACAGTAAAGTTCAGAGAGACACCATGTCTTTTAGTTCATACCACCACTGAGGCAGAGTGCAGCACAGAAAGACGTAACATGTGAAAGCCCAGCACATTAATATGTGTGGCTATCAGACTTGGAAAAAAAATACATGAAATTGTCAGGTTTGTTTTTTACATCTAACCTTGTACATCAAATCAGAACTCAGCAGCTTTGTGGCTCAGGATTTCGTCTGTTTTCTTACCCTGGGAGGCCTTCTATGGAGGAATGGATGCGGGCTGCATCGGCAACTTCTTTGATCTCCTCTGAGAGCACCATGCGGCTACTAGCACCATAGGCAATGTTCTCAGCGATGCTGCAGTTGAAGAGCATAGGCTCCTGGGAGACGACGGCTGTCTGTGAACGCAGCCACTGCACGTTCAGTTCCCTTACATCAACACCATCAAGCAGCTGCAGGAAGAGACTGGAGACTAGTTTGGTAAGATCCAGCAGCCGTGTCATATTACACTTCATGGTATACATACAGAAACACATAATAACTAGAAGCCTAGAAATTCAAGCTATTTTGCGAAGTGTACATTGCCAAAGGACGGTTCATAAATCACCCGCTGGCCAGCAGCACTCAGCTGCCAGCTCATTGAAAGGTTGATTCCAAACATACACTTCTAGAAATGACCACAGAGATTGGAGTTTATCTAGTCCTCTGTCTTGAAGTAAAATATAAAATGATCAACGCCCCCTTCGGGTGTAGCAACACTCCATTACTGATGTCCAACAAGAGTGTTGGCACACGTTGATAAGCAAGTCCACCTGTAGAGATGGGCACACTCCCACAGTCAGCTGTTTGATGAACATGCCTTCTGTGTGCCCAGGACTCTTGGCACTGAGAAAGTAATACAGTTCAAAACTCCCTGTGACCATGATAGTATATATTCTAGCCGACAGCCATTAATGACACCAACAACTCAGAAAGGGAAGGTGACATGAAGACAGGGTAATCGGACAGAGATAGACTGAGGCAGAAGATGTTTAGGATGGCCATGGAAAGTGACTTTGAGATGAGACACAGGCAGCACTTGAGATATAGTGAGTAGGTGAGGGGAACTGCAGTAAGGAAGAAGATAGAAGTTGGGGAGATGGATATTCAGCACTCAGTGAGAGACATGAGGAGAGGAAGTTGGGAAAAGGAGTTAGGGGCCAGACAGTGAAGGACTTTCATGGTGTTAAATCTTGCTTTTGCTTAGTGGGGAATCATTCTCCAATGGTTTCAAGCAGGGAGAGTGTATATGCTACCTGAAAATAGACAGATGCCACCTAGTTCAAGGGAGTTTTATGTACTGCTCTGCTTTCCAAATGTTTGTTGATAATCCATAATGGGGAAAGACTGCAGATTATAGGAGAATAGGGCTAGCATGACAGCCTGAACTTTTAGTGAACTATAACTCTCTGAGGGAATAAGCTTTGTGTGTATGAGAAGGGGAGGAGGTGGGGGAGATGCAACAGTGGTGAGAGACAGTAACAGGGACTGGAACACGGGCACACAAGATCCAGTAGACACAAACAAGGTAAAGAAGGTAATCGTCGGGTTTAAAGGAGGAGGAAATCGTTTCTTTTTGAGATCAGGACTCTCAGCTTAGTGGAGATTAATTGGAAAATACCTTAGTCTTGCAACAGGTCTTGATAGATGGGGGAATCAAGGCCCATGAGATCAGCCAAGGGGTGGAAACCATTATCAGTCTTAAGCCAGAAGGTGTAGGGAGCTGTGATACTGTATGAAGAAAACCTAGCTTTCCCTCACACCCATATTCCAAAAGAATCCTACAGCTTCTAAGGTAAAAATCATGGTTGTCAGGAAAGCTCAAGACACCATGGGTCATTTGTACTTAATTTCAAAGTCCTCCCCACTAGTTTTGATCTGGACCTGATGTTTTCTTTGCCAAAAGCAGAGCAGAATTTTTTTGTTTTTTGTTTTTTAGGTTTTGTGTTTGTCTACTGGGTAAACCTAGACTTCCCTGCACATTTAAGGCTTTATCACTATCCCCCAGCTTAGGTAATTTAAGTCCATCTTACCACTTGTCCTTTCATGGGGTCATAAAATCTTTGCAGCAGTTGAACACAAGTGCTTTTTCCACAGCCACTGCTCCCATCAAAATGCCACAGTCTTCCCTTTCTTAATGCTGATGAGGGACAGGTAATGGAGGATGGGAACTTTGGGGCGACATGGATAGAAGAAAGAGACTTCTCGAAATTCTAAATTCTCTTTGCAGGTGTCCTATGAAAGGAGGAGATATTTACAGGGACTTTGGAAGGTTGCACCCCATGGCCATACCCTGAGTAAGTACTGCCTATAAACTGGACTTGCTTCCACACCATTTCCATTTTAAACTCATTGTCTCCAGAGAGCTGCTACCCGATGGCTGGACCTCAACAGCATCTGTGTTTTATGCGTGTGGTTCTCACTACTGTCAGTGGTGGACTACCTTCCCCCAAATCATAGGTTCCTTCAGTTAGGCCACAGCCAGGTCTGTTGACTAGTTGACCAGCTTTTCTAACTAAACTTCTTCTTTTATTAAATTTATTATATTTTTGAAAACCCTTTACTGCTTAACTCAGAAATGCCAGGCCATATCAACTCTGTGCGTACCTTTTATTTTGAAAACTTGACTATGTTTTATAGTTAATATGTGCTATGCTTTGAACTCCGATCTATATATTTAGTTGGTCATCATTTGGCAGTAATACTCAGATAAAAGTTTAGTTTTCTCTGTTTTTTTCAAACTCTTTAGTCATTGGTGATTTTCATGTAAACTAACACTTTTCTCTGCCAATGATATTCTTTAAAAAGTTTCCAGAACTATAAGTAGAGTATATTAACTGTTTTATTTTTATTTATTTTTGCTCTGGTTTTTACTTTGTTTATGTTAAGCCTTTCTCTCTCTTTTCTCCCCTCCTTTTCCCTTCTTGTTCTCTTCTTTCCCCTCTCCCTTCCCGTGTGTGTGTGTGTGTGTGTGTGTGTGTGTGTGTGTGTGTTTCTGGAGGTCAAGGTCAGAGCTTCATACACGCTAAACACATACTCTACCATGGAATAACACACTCTAATTTTATTAAAGTGTGTTTGGCTTTTGCTATCAAGGTAGACATAGACTAAGGCTGGATTTTCAGACAAATCCCTTCTTCCTAGTCAGGTTAATCATCATGTATTGTATTCTGAACCTAGGGGGAAAAGCACAAAGGATGTTTGACTGGGAAGGGGGCTCTGTGGAGGAACACTTGCTTAGCATTCAAGAAGCCCTGGGTTAGGTCCCCAGTTCTATGTGTGCTGGGTCACATTTTTGTGTCCCTAGTATTTGGCAGGTGGGTGTGGGAGGATCAGAAGCTCAAAGATAACTTTTAGTTACATAATGGGTGTGAGGCCAGCTTGCACAACAGATGTGAAATCCTGTCTCAAACACAAACAAAAAAATATACACAAAATATGCTTAATGTTGGGTAGGTGTGGTGCACCTCTTTAGTCCCAGCACTCAGGAGGCAGATGCAGGCAGATCTCTGTGAGTTTGAGGCCAGCCTGGTCTACAGAGCGAGTTCCAGGATAGGCTCCAAAGCTACACTGAGAAACCCTGTCTCAAACCCCCAGCTTGCCTCCACAAAAAAAGCAATGTATCTAGCTCCAAAGTATTTAGGTCTCTGATGCTTCTTTTTCAATACTCATGGTCTCTTAATGTTTGCAGTTAAACTTATGTGTACAATTTAATAAATATTCAGTTGCCCTTTTCCCTCTTATGTAAATACATTTCCCATGAAAACTTATGTTTGACATAAAAGCATTATTACCTTGCAGATGTGATTAGAGAAAAAAATGAAATTTAGCCAACATTCATGAAAGACATGCAAGACCAAAACCATTGCTCTAAATATATTTTGACTTAGTAATCAATCTCTCATAGAACATTCTATGACATAGGGCATATAAGCTAAAGATTTCTTTTAACATAATATATACTTTAAGAGTAGAGGTGAGAGAGAATCCATTCTAGGGGCATTCTTTGTCCTTTGTAGTGCTAAAATTTGTCCATACAAACTTCTGGCACCTGATCTTAGAATATTCTATAACAGCAATACTCATACTAAGAAAGTGAACGCGTAAACTCTAGTTGCATTTACTAGTTTTTCCCCACTTGACTACAGCTGTCCATAGTTGGTTTCTTTTTCAGCAAAGCAAACAGATGTGCAGCTCCAACTTTGGCTTTGGAATATTCTGGAGTCCAAACAAGTGTTTCTCCAATGGCTATAGCACCATATGCAATGGCAGTAAAAACTCTGTTGAAAGACAAGACATCAGCAGAACTTGGGAGAAAAGGAAGAGTGGACAGAAGACAGATAGCATTCCTGATGCTGAGGGCTCAACAATGGCTTCTCTTTGGAGCTCCCTGCCAGGTGCTCTGTAGGGCAAAACAACCTTTGAATTTGAGTTATCTCAAAAATTCCTCTTTTGATTAGTTATCAAAGATTCCAATCAGTGAATGTGAAACCTTTCAGCCACTTTGATACAAGGTGTGCCTGTTAGGAGATTTGGCAGAGAATGCACTGACAATAGGGAGAATGTGTCCCTGGTGGTGAGGTCTGACGCAAGGCCCTTCTTTGTTTGCCTGCAATGTAGTTACACAGGTGACTGAAGCTGAGCTTAGATTAATCCTCTGCCTTAGAGATAAACTGTTTAGAGAGCAAAGTATGGACTTGCACTTTCTTCCCCTTTCTGCAGTGACCAAAGGATACTTCAACCAAGCCTGAAGGAGAAGCTGTGTGATCTTGGAGTTTGTTGTAGATTCTGATCTGTTTCGGCTGTGTGATCTTGGAGTTTGTTGTAGATTCTGATCTGTTTCGACACGTGCAAACAGGCCAATGGTCTTGGAGTTGTGATCTAACATGTGGCTAAATGTTTTCCTACTATTTTTCTGTTTCATTTTAGATGTAAAAATAAAAAACAATTCAGTTACAACTGGACACAGTTCACTAGCAACATTTAAACACCAGGCCAAAGGGCATGGGGAACCCAGCTGCTGGCTTGCTTTGATCCATCACAGACCTATCTTGGAGGTTTGGCAGGGTAGTGCCTCCTTTAATCCTAGCACTCAAGAGGCAGAGACAAGCAGATCTTTGTGAGTTCAAGGCCAGGCTGGTCTACATTGCAAGCTTTTGGTCAGCAAGAACTATGTAGAGAGACACCCTGTGTCAAAAACCAAACCAAAAAACCAAGTATGTCTGGATTTTTCGTGGATGTCACCCTTTCCACTGTGTGACCTCCGGAAGGGTGGGGGCTGTAATCTCTTTAGCGACCTTGACCTTAGACCCCAAATCCAGTTACTTGTACAAAGAAACAGGACATATAAAAACAACCAGTTTACAGAGTATCTGTTGCTAAAACTACTGTTGTCAATAGTTTTGAGATACCAAATGTTTTTTCACTTTTTAAAGAAATTTTTATGATTCATAATGCCATTCAGAAACTAAATATAAAGTGTAACAAGAAGTCTTGTTGAATTTAGGTAGCATGTTAAACATGCTTGTTTGTTGTTATTTGATACAATATAATTTTATGTCACTTAAGGTATTCTTGAAATTACTATACACGCCAGGACTGTCTTGAACTTGGGATCCTCCTACCTCAGTCTCCTGAGCATTGGGGTTACAGATGTGTGTCTCTGTGCCCAGGTGTATTTGTTTTAAGTGCAAGCAAGAGTCAGGCTGGATCAAACTGAAGTCAGGATTTAACAAGTGAGGTAGGAAGAGAGCGGCACTAGGAGTGTGCTGACATGGGCCCTAAATGTACAGGGCTGGGAAACAGCCTGGAGTGTGTCTTAGTCACTGTTCTATGCTGTGAAGAGACACCGTGATCAAGGCAGACAGGGCTTCTTTGTATAGTCTTCGCTGTCCTGGAACTTGCTTTGTAGACCATGCTGGCCTTGAACTCACAGAGATCTGCCTGTCTCTGCCTAGAATTAAAGTTGTGCGCCACCATGCCCAGCTTCAAGACAACACTTATAAAAGAAAGAATTTAATTGGAGACTGGCTTGCAGTTTCAGAGGCTTGGTGCATTATTATCAAGGTAGGGAGCATGGTGGCACACAGGCAGACATGGTACAGGAAAAGTAGCTGAGAGTTCTCCTCTTGGTCCTCAGGCCCATCCCAAGTGACACACTTCCTTCAACAAAGTCACACTTCTTTATCCTAACCTTTCAAAAAGTCCCACTCCCTGGTGACAAAACTCAAATATAGGAGCCTATCTGGGTCATTCTTACTAAAACCCGCCACAGTGAGGTTTACTATGTGCCCTAATACCCATCCATCCTAAAGTTTCCACTCTGAGTCATTTTAAGCATCAGACACAGATACCCTGAAGTTTGTGTGTGTGCCAGGTCCCTCTTTAGAATGCAAGTGTTACTACTCAGAAGGGGTTTCTTTTAAGGCCTTGTTCTTGGGGAAGGGCGATGACCTGAAGAAAGGTGAATAGAGCAAGAAGTCCCACAATAGAAAGCCCCAATACCATGCTTTCTCATTGTATGAGGGGAGCTAGGACTGGCAGGCTTTATCCTGAGGTACCTAGATGGAGAGTGTGAGTTCTGTGGTGATGGGATACCTAAGGGCTAAGTCAGGGACATCAATCTTCTTGATTTCCCCCATTTGTGTTTTGTATAAAGCTAGGTCAGTGTCCACATGCCTAAACATCTGGATTGTTATTGGATTTGCCTAGACTGACTCACCTAGCAGTGAGCTAAACTCAAGCCTCTGTAACTCAACAGGCATTTACGTACAGCAACCAGGGCTGAACTCCACAATACAGTCAAACAAGCTCCTTCAAATCCTGCCCAAACTCCTGGGGCATCTGGATGGAGGGCTACCCAGAGAAATGCGCTTTCAATCTGGGCTCAGCTCACACAAAGATGAGCCACAAGAATGGTGAGATGTACCAACATATTTAGTTACTAAAGTACATTAATTCCATTAAGCAAGAAGCATACTACAGGTCATAAAAGAGTTTTTTAGTTGACACACAAATATGTAAAGAAGGAATCAAAGAAGACTCAAACAAGTTTCCAGTGTATGTAGCCCAGGCTGGACTTGAAATGAATTCACTATGTAGCTAGGAACTACATGCTCTATGCATGAAGCTTCCTTCTCAGCCAGTTTTCTCTTTTAAAATTAGTTTTTGACTGGCATAGAAAGTCATGAAGTTCATCATGACATTTTCATGTATTCTTTGACTTCATAATTTTCATATGTCTGTCTTGTTTTTGGGAAGAAATCTTAACACAGCATATGACACTCAATCCATCCTGAAACCTTTTGGGTTGGCTAGAGTGAGGAGGAAAGGTGAAGAGGGAGTTAGGAAGGAGCAGCCTAGCACTCTGAGGGGCTATCTCTTCTACTTTAGTTCTCCAACACGGAAGCACTGCATCCTCTCATCCACTGGTCCTTCTGAGCACATATGAACACTGTGAAACACCAATACCTATTGTAACTGTTAAGATAAAAACAGAATTTACAAAGTTTCTTTCAATAGAAACAATCCCCTAAAACACAGACATGAGTGGTTCCAGTTTTAACAAAAAGGATCCAAATGGGAGTGACCAGCATATTCGTTGAGCTTAATCATTGTGTCTCTCCTGAGCCCAGCTCCAGTTTGTGTTCCTGAGCTGGGTTCCCAGTATCACATCTAAATTGATGGTATTTGCCTTGCAGGTGTGACTGGATTTCTTTTCGAATCTGACTCCTAATTGTAAGCAGGAGCCAAGCATGTCTATGTTGCATGGTGGTTGTCAGAATTAAATGCATAAATGATATATGATACCTAGAAGTGTTAACAAAGGAATTTGTGTGATGTTCCTCTCATGGAATGAAGAACTACTGGGACACTCTGCTGGGAAATGAGCTTCCATCCTTTTGGAGTAATCCAGTACACAGCAGTTGTCATCACAGCGGTCGATACCCTGGAGTGTAAGGTTCTCTTCAGGTGGAACGTACAGGAGCTGTCATCCTGGACATGCTCATTGAGAGACTTTCCCTGGCTCATCCTCTTTCCCCTTCATCCAGATTGAACCCAGTGGTCCTCTCCTCCCACTCCACATCCTTCCATGATGGATGGAGGAACACTGCAAGCCACTGAGATTGACTTTGTATTCCGGAGCTTGGGAAAGTTTTCAAGTTCATGATATGATCTGACCACCTAGGAGGTAATTAGGCCAGGAACTTCCCACTTCACAAATTAGGAAACTCCAGCCTGTGAAAATGATGCAGCTGGCCCAGGATCACACAGATTTCCTTGTGAGCAGGCCTCCTGCTGACTGTGTTTCTGTCACATGCCGGTCTTTCCGGTGGTGAGCGTGGTGTCTGCCTCATGCTTTGATTCATTAGTCTTCAGCCCTGTCCTGGCATCTGCACAGCCCTGGATGTCCTCTCTATTTTGACTTCTTTCTGTAGATGCCTTCTCTGTTAATCTAAACAGTTTATGTGCCTTTTGTTCCAGATGCTGCCTAGGAAGGAGCCAGCAGAAGTGGGTCACTGTCATGCAGGGCCCAAGCAAAAAAATCTTTCCTGTTTGCTAACTAAGGTGACCGTCTCAATTTCAAAGATCAGTTCTTGTAAGCAAAGATGGATGTAAAAGCCTAATGAACTTCTTTCTAGCCCTTGGTGTTTCGAAGTCTCAGTTAGCCCTTAATATTATTAAAAATGAAGCTATCTGATTGCTACATTTAATACTGAAAGTCCAGACTAACTTTTTGTTGAGAACTATCTTTAGATTTTGAAGAACAAGTAACATACACAAACACACACACATACACACATCATATACACACATACACATACATACACACAAACACACACATACACACATCATATACACACATACATACACACAAACACACACATACATACAGACACACATATAACATACACACATACACATACACACATCATATACACACATACACACATACATACACACACTTATACGCATACACACATACACACACATCTACACATACACACATCGCGTACACACACTACACACACATACACACACAGAGAGCCTTTATTATTACTGCAATGCCCTGTCCCGATTTCTTTCTCTCTTGCCTAGATGCAGTGCTTAGTTAGCATTGTCTATGCATACTACAAAGATGGAGGTGACTCACAAACAGAGGAAAACCTGAAATGGTTGTGGTGGGAAGGTCCAGAAGCCTCTGCGGGTCACCAGAGGTATCCGGTTGGTATTCTGAAGGCACCTCAGCTAGGACTTTGCCTAGTGGCATTAATGCCAAACCTTTCATTTTTGCTTTTGGACAGAGTCTTGTTACGTAGTTCATGCTGGCCTAGACCTCACTACATACCTAGGTTGGCTTCCAACCTGCAATCCTCCTGCCTTAGTTTTCCAAGTTCTAGGATTACAGGCTTTTGGTAGGATGCCTACTTTATTAATGAAGAATGAGACAGGGAAAACTAAGCTTAGTTTGTATTCCCCAAAGTGTGCGTTAATAGTGAAATGATCAACTGTGCCTGGCCAAGCTAACAGAGAGGGGATGTTTTACTACCTTCTGAGTATGAGGCCAATCCTTAACTCCTAACCAAAAGTCAACAGAATAAAGATGCTCTGATCTTGTTTAAATGCTCATTTTAAGGAAAGCTCTCCGATTGTGGGGATGACACTAGTCAGCTTTTGTCACAGGCATGCATGCTCCCCTTTACATAAAGAGACCTTTCCCCTCAGCCACAGCAGGACAGACTAGGAATGTGTGAGGAGATTGTGCTGTGGACCCTCTGCTCACCTCCTTTTCTAAGCACGCTGCCCCTTCTGGAAGAGACTGCTTATCTGCACCTTTAATTGTAAACCTTGAAAATATACTCATGTTTTATTGGGGAAAAGTATGCTATTATTATCATCTATTTTATGTGTTATGATTGTGAGTGATGGGGGTATGAAATGTGATAGAAGGGTTAATTTTAAAGATGAAAGAAAATCACAAAGCATAACAAAAAGCAAAGAAAGAGTAGTGACAAAAAATAGGCGGCAGAGATGAAATGTCTGCTGTGTAACATGGCAGGCTGACCTCCATTGCTGTGTTTGGTGGGTCTTCTCTAGCAGCTAACATCAGACATCCTGACAGCGCAAGACTCTGGGCACGTACAGGGACTGAGGAGAGAGCACCAAGAGGACAGCACCTTCTAAGTTTCCTGGAATCTAACTTTCGGAAGACAATGTAAGGTTAATCCTGGGAGTGGCCACATGATATCAGAACCAAACCAAAGGACTAGTTCAATGAGGCCTGTGAATTGTATAAATTAATCCACGTGATTCTGGGTTTGTTTCTTGTTAATCTGACAAACTACTCAAACAGGCAAACACCTGAACTGTATTTTTACGGATCTACGTAGACAGCACTCCACATGTAAGAGTGAGGAAAATGGAACACGGACCCTAAAGGTTTCTGTTTCTTTTTTCATGATAGGAATTCACTTTGTAGACAAGGCTGATATCAAACTCACAGAGATCTACCTGCTTCTGCCTCCTGAGGGCTGGGATTAAAGGCGTGCACCACCAGCAGTGGGGTGCCATTCTCCCCCACTACCCCATCCAGCTCCGGTGCAGTTTTCAATACAGGGACTTGTTTGAGAGGAGCCTTGCCCCTAGGCAACAGTGAACAGCGGTTCCTGCCTTTACTGCTAACTGGTAAGACTTGGGAATGCTGATTTGGTGACTTGAAAAATGTTTCGTACCAGTGATTAGACAAGAATGTCCTAGGATATTTACAAATAAAGATATTTTTGTGAGAGTAGAAAATAAAAGTTATCTGAAATCACATGACTTCAAATGAGTTTTGATCATTTCTTTTGATTGAACATATCCTCAAATTACAATTACGTCCCAGCCATGGTGGAGTTCTGGGGAGGGTCAAGAGCTGTGGAAGTCAAGGAGGAGCTCCAGGGCTTCCTGAATACCCCAGGTGCAGAACAAAGTCATTATCATTAGGAACAGCGACTAGGTTTAATGTGCAGGGCACAGAGGGGTTGTTTAAAAAATTACAGAGTTTTTTGTACTTGTGTCTAACAGTGAGAACTGTGATATAAACAGCAACACTTCTGGCATTTTAGACTCAGGCAGCTGAAAAAAAAAACACTCAAAATCTTTTCAATTGCAGTAGTTAGATGTTTTTATCAAGTGGAGAAAGTCTTCATGGTATAAACAGGCCCTGAGAGCACAAGCCACTTTGGGAGGAAGCTGCAACAAGGCAGCGGCCAATTCGTGATGAGACATGTGTGTATAAGCGCTGACTTGGGTTTATACTGATGAAAGCCATCTCCTCCCGGGAAACTCCATGTAGTCTCTGAGTTCCCCAGGACACCGAGAAACCAGATTTGCTGCTGTAACCCACACTGGAGTGAGCTAAACCTGGGAGCAAGTTACTTGGGAGTTTACCACAGATCCTTTGCATTGCTTCAGTACATAATACAGTGCATGGCCCAAAATGAGTGCAACAAGTACAGTCATGCAGTGTTTCCTATCATTACACAGCACCAACAAAAACAACCTGACTTAATCATTGTACAATGGAGATGCCTGTCAAAGCAAAACTATCACAGCTCACCCTTTAAATAAACACAAATGTTACTTGCCAATTAAAAATAAAACAACACACATACTATGCATACACTTAAATGTTTTAGAAAGCCTTTGCCACAGGGGAACTAGATGAGACTCCTCCCTAAGCTAGACATGTGTGCATAACACACTACAGGGTTTAAATATTTGCACAACTCACGTGAACATGCCTTCTGGTGTCATCCGTCCAGCTCAAATCAAATAGGCTCCAAAGGGAAATCCTGCTGAATGGGCGAAATACACAAAAGCATGGCCGACCGCATAACAGCTTCCAGTGATGTGTGCTCTCTTCAAGACATTTCTGAAACACACAAATACCAAATTACGGAACGTGGATGATAGAAGGTCAATATAATAAACAGAGTGTAGAGGACTTTGAAATGCTCTAATTCTATGCATATACATTTTTCTAAGAATTATAAGGTTATCACAGAGAAGCCAGGCAATTTTCTCTACAGCTGTAGGTAGTTTACTGTAACAGCACAGCCTTTACTTTCTAATGAGTGGACATGAGTCATGAAAGAACAGCTAATGTAAGAGCTAAGGAGTGGTGGCTCAGTAGTACTTAGAAGTCTTCTCTAATTTCCAACACAGTCTTACATTAGTAGAACATAGTGACTATTAATGGGTGGTGTAGACCACAGACGTCAGTGCAAATGAGTACAAATGATCTCTGGTAAAGTAACCCAGAGAACCAGAGGCAGTGTGATGAGGAGGGCCTGTTAAATAAGCACCATGTACACATTTGTTCACACGTAAGCTCTCTTAGATGTTTAGTGTAAAAGGGTAAGCCATCCCATTTTCTTTTTTCTTTCTTCCACATGTCATTTCCTCAATGTTCTTTCAGAAATAAATTGGCCCTGTGCCAATGGTCACATGGGGGCCCTATACTTCTTTGTTGTTATCCCTTGATGTTCTTATTTTCTCTTGGTGAAGTCACTTGAGAAGTTAGGATGTGCTGTTCTTAGGAAAGAGTAACATGGAAATAGCTTAGCAAGCACCAGAGGGGTCGTCACCCTGAGCAGTGTATTTCCAGGATGAGAGCCAATAGAGTGGACTTGAGCTATCATCACCTGTGTCGGGTCTGAAGCATCTCCTCGTACATTTGCTCAAAGGCATTTTCTCGTGTTAATGATAGTACAGTACGTATGTTCTCCACAGCTTCGGTTGCAATCTTAGAAGGTGGCACAATAAAATATGAAAATAATATTAGTAATGTTAAACTCCTTGGTAGTGAATTCCTGTCTGGGGATACAGTCTTTCCAGTCAATAAGTTTTTCCTGGCAATTATTCTTACCCCCACCCCAATAAGATAAAAATTGCTTGATGGAAATTTCTTTTGAAAAGATTTAATTCATACATTTTAAGGACCTTAAGTCTTCACTGAATTTAATTTTATTTGTTTCCCCAGTGGGGAAATCAAACATTGGCAGGCATGTTCCCATGCAAATGTCTTCTTATAAATCATGAAACAGGTCTTACAAAAGATAACAGACAAGTCAAGTAAATAATTATCCCATCACAGAATTGTAAATCATAGCCAAACCGGACTCGGTAACAACCCAGCAAGGCACCACACAAAGTGGCTGCAAAATGCTTTCTAAGACAAAACTAGTTCTATTTTGAAGTCTAGAAACTCAAAAAAGCAATTCAAGTATGACTAATGTTTCTTTATGTTTATATAGTATTAAAAAAGAATGCAATGACATGAGTTTCAGAATGGGAAAGGAAAGACTTCTGTCTTAGAATACCATGTAAATCTGAGAGTGCGTTACCTTCAAAGACAGATTTTGTGTTGCCACATTTTGTTTCAGACTGCCCCTGTAGACCGCCATACAGGGCACCCAGGTGCACACCTCACATTTCTTGAAGGACATTTGGGGGTTGCCAGAGTTGACTAGATGGTTTTAAAGTACTAGGATTCTGCTCTCAGTTTTCATGTTCAGTTGTTTCAAATTCTTATTAACTTTATTAATCTCAAAGAATGCTTCACTTTTCACATATGTTGTTTACAAAGAAAATGACAAAGAATGCTGGAGTCTTGCTCTAGAGCAAAAAAGAGAAGAGCATTAATAAGAAGCTCTTTGTGATTATTTCCCACAGTCTAGAGTATAACATCACTATAGAAATTTAGAAAGTACGCTAGCTTTTTAAAATGTATATGAGTGTCTTGCTGTCTACATGTCTGCATCTGCGTACCATATGCATGCCTGGTGCCCACAAATCCCATGGAGCTGGAATTATGACAGTTGTTAGTCACCATGTGGGTGCTGGGAACTGAACTCAGTCTTTGGAAAAGCAGCAGGAGTTCTTAATCATCGAGCCACCTCTGAAGCCTCAGGAAATACTGTAGTCTTAAGAAAAACTAATAAAGCCATTTTATCTGAATAAAGAGAAACATTTGATGATTTCTTTTAGTTTACATAAGCAAAGAAGAGAAAGGCTAGCATATTTTATTATTAAAAATTTAAATTTACATAGATTAATTGATTGTGTATATGCACTTGTGTACGGGAGGGCATAAATGGGCAGGGCAGAGGGCAGCATTGGTTCTGTTCTTTTCCTTGATCAAACCCAGGTCATCAGGCTTGCCAGCAAGTGCCTTTACCTACTGAGCCACCTTGCTGGCCTGGTCTATGTTCTAAGTTGGTCTCTGGTAAGTTGACTTGCTGAAAGCAATAGGGACAGACTCAGAATGCCTAATTTAGCAGCTGTTACTTGTTGTACAATCTCGGGTTAATCTCTTGACACAAAAATGAACTATCAAAGGGCACATTTATAACAAAAGTTCATGACAGAAAAAAATGGGAAAAGAAATCTTATTAGTGTCTCAATAATTTAGAAAATGTTCAAATTATCACCATTTTAAAAACATACATGGAAGGCTAAACAACTCTTCACTGTCTCTGAGGCAAATATTTGCTAAGTAGTTCAGTTTATACAGTACAAGCAGACATTCCAAGGCTCTTTCTTTTTCTAGTGTAAGAAAAGTGGAAAGGACATCCACTCCCCTCATCTACTGCTGAGGCAGGCAGATCTTCCTGCCTGCCTCCAGCCAGAGTCCTTCCTCCTTATCCATCTCTCTTTCAAAGAGGCTGCTTCTGTCTCTCCCTTCCCCCTACTTCTCCTTTTCTCCCCTCTCTGTTTCTCTCTCTCTCTCTGCTGTTCCCCCTTCTTCCCTTCCCCTCCCATAACCCACTAAATAAATATCTAACTTCACTCTACATGGTGTGTCTATCCATCTCAGTCTCTCAGCTTCCTACCTGGGACCCGGCTGGCTGCCTTCGTGGCCTGCCGTTGTCTTGAGACCTGCTGCCCACTGCACTTTTCTTGTACATTTTGAGAAATAAAATACCCAGAATTATTGTTTGAGAACTTGTAATTATTCTGTAAATAGAAGATAGGGAATCATGGCGTTATAAAATCCCCCTTGACAGTAAGAGTAATTGCAGATGACACTGTTATGTGTGCTTGCTATCTTCTGGCTGCCATTCTAAGTGTTTTGTATAACAATGCTGTTTTGTGTAATACACAGATCTGTAAATGGATTTTTTTTTGTCATCCTTGCTTTTCAGAGGAGCAAACGAAAGGTGGCAAATGTGTATCTAACATAGTTGTGCCACATGTGTAGGACCTGGCTCAGCTCTGTTCTGAGTCCTAGACTACATTGCTGTAATATACCCACACCTCGTCCAGCACTGATCTACCTGCATTTCAGTTATGTATACAGCGCTCTGCAGATTCCTAAGAGACGAAGTTATAAACATGCGACTAGTGAGGAAAACAGAGGCTGTCCTTTACCTTTCCAGCCACCGCCGCAGTCTCAGTCGTCCCTGTCAGGTGGATGTGAGTACAGGTGCGAAGCTGAGCATCAGGAGAGTCATCTCCCACCCGTGTATGGAGGAGATAAGAACAGACAGCACCATGCTGGGCGCATCTTGGGTTATGATACCAAGTTTTGAAGTTGCTGCCTAGAATCAGACATATTTGGGGCAGGGCATGAAATTTAGAAGAATTCTTATATATTCCTGTAAAATAAGGTGTTTTTAAACTTTCACTTGGACTTAACGATTAATGAGGACACATATTTTGTGAAAACCTGGCTAAGGAATCCTTTCATTTTCCACCTTATATTCAGGATTGTCAGCCGCATAAAATGGCACCTGTTCTTACCGTGTAGGAAGACTATAGGAGCTTTGGATTATTTGAAATTAAATATGAACTGTTCTGTTGGTTTTATTTTTTATTTATTTTTTTTTTCAGATAGAATCTCTACACACAGTCCTGGCTGTCCTTTAAGTCACTGAGCAGACTGCCTCAAACTCTGAGAGATCCTCCTGCCTCGTGCTGAGTGCTGGTGTTGCATCACCATCTCCCACAAGCAGGACCTGCTTAAAAGTCACACTGAGAGGTCTTTTTAGATGTGTGGGATTTCACACTCTGATTCTAATTAAATGTCTTAAAAATTAAAGTAACAGGTTTCTTTTGTCTCATTGAAAGGTGTCCCTGCTTTCTTGCATGCACACACACATACACATACACACACCATATACATACCCTATCTCAACCCTAATTTATAGTGGATTTTCTTTAAATAACTGGTCTTATTATTACTATTTATTATTATTATTTGTGTGTGTATATGCTACCCACATGGAAAGGTCAGAGGATAGCTCTGTGAGTTATTTCTTTCTTTCCACCTTTATGTGGGTTCTGAGATTCTAGCTGGGGATTGAATGACAACTGCTGAGTCATCTTACCAGCTCCTAACTCAGAAATGACAAGTGCTGAGTCATCTTACCAGCCTCTAATTTAGAAACAATGTGAAAACAAAGCTGGCACTTGAAGAAGGAGCAGAGTGATGGGCACTGTGTACTATAATAAAGCAAAGAAGTAAGAGTGAGTTAGTCTTTCATGAAGAATTTTTTAGTGTTTGCTGTTATAAAACTGCACTGACATTTATTTGGTATTTTAAAGGAAAATAAATATCTTAATATTTAATACCATTGAAGTACCAGTTTTACAGACTTACATAATTTACATAAATTAAAATTTAAGTGCCTGGAAAACATGTTTTAAATTGCATATATAAACTTTGTAAAGATTCCATGTATTATACCTAAATAAAAGAATTCTGCTTTTTGCTTGCATAGTTATTAAAATCAACTTTTTATCTCTAAAAGATACTGGAATGAATTGTCTGTTTCTATTTTAACAAAATTTCTTTATGTAATCAGTAAAGCTGAGATTGTTGTGCAGCTTTGGCACAGTTAACTCTCAAAAGACTTCCATCAGTCTGTCTTGCTGAATCTCAGCGGTGGTGAGCCACAGGTACCTCCAGGAGTCCTAGACTGTACACTTGAGGGAGCACTGACAGACAAGAACACTTGTAGCAGAATGCAGAAGGCTCATCATCAAGGAAGATCTCTGCTGCTGTGCTTATTATCACTGCTCTGGCCATGGGCTGAAGTGGGAAGCAGTATGAGTGTGTGCGTATGTGTTTACTTACATAATCTCTCTCTCTCTCTCTCTCTCTCTCTCTCTCTCTCTCTCTCTCTCTCTCTCTCTCTCTCTCAGACAGGATTTCTCTGTGCAGCCCTGGCTGTCCTAGAACTAGTTCTGTAGACCAGGCTGGTCTCAAATTCACAGAGATCTGCTTGCCTCTGCCTGACAAATGCCGGAATTAAGGAAGTGAGCTACCACTGCTTAGCGTCTAAAATTTCTTGGGTCCAAGAGTCTCTGTAGTTCTCACAAATTCCTACCCAAGGCTACAAGACTGGTCAGTCTCCTTCTTTCCTTCTTTTTTTGTCTCTTTTCACAAGGGAGAAATAGGGATCTCCTTTCTCCTTCCTCCCCTCCTGCTCCCTCCCCTCCCCTCCACTTTTTTCTTCTCCTCTCCCCTCTTTTTCCTTCATCTGTTTATGTTTTTTTTAAATATTTATTTATTATGTATGCATGTACACCTGCAGGCCAGAAGAGGGCACCAGATCTCATTATAAATGGTTGGCTGTTGTGATCTAGCTACCCTTACTCCCCTTGATCAACAGCAGAACTTCCTTGTGGTCTGTAATTGGCAAGGATGTTTGTGTTCTTTCTGGCTGGTGGTTTTCTACAGAAGCAGTAGAGGTATAAAAGGCTTTTAGCTCAGGGCAAAATAAAGGTTGCTGTTCCTCCACCTGAAAAGAAGCCTCCATGTCTCAATCCCTGCATCTAGGCTGCCATGGTGTGGCAGTTGGCCACCATGTAGTTGCTGGGAATTGAACTCAGGACCTCTGGAAGAACAGCCAGTGCTCTTAACCTCTGAACCATCTCTCTAGCCCTTTTATGTGTTTTAACATGAGGTTTCATATTATGATTCTGACTGGCTTGGAACTTGTGAAAATATTCCTGCTTCTGTCTCCCCAAGTGCTGAGATTACTGGCATGTGATACCATGCTGACTCTTAATTTTCCTTAATAGACTTACCTCTCCATCTATAACCTATTGACTATTACAATGACTACTTTTTCCTGCTTGGCACCATCTTCACCTTGCTCTGGGTGCTCCACCCACGTTTTTAATACAATGCCTGCATGCCTGGTTCATCATATCTAGGCTCTAGCACCTACCTTCCTTTTCCCACAAAGATAGAATACCAGCATTCAGCTATTACATCCTATAGTGTTCAATGGAAAGATTAGAGGTTCTCTTTTACTCAAGTATGTGCTTTAAATAAGATATTTATCATTTTCTGTTTTATACTTAACAGATTGGTCTCATTAAGTAAGGGCATAAGTGGAAATATTAAGACAGAAAAGGAGGTGGAAACATCGTAGTGCAAGGTAAGAAAATATCCCCAAAATAATCTTTAAATAAGTAGAACCTATAGTTGCTATATAAGCACTGCATTCTTAATGTGGTGTCAGAAGCCTTCAGTCTTAGCACTCAGGAGTCAGAGGCAGAGGCAGGGGGTCTGCATAAGTTAAAGCCAGATTGTTCTGTATAGTGAATTCAGTGAATTCAAGCTATGTAGTGAGTTCAAGACCAGTGAATACTATGTAGTTAGACTCTGTCTTAACACCCTCCCTCCACTGCCACCAAAGAAAGCCCAAACAAAGAGCAATATTTCTTATGTCATATGAATGTTCCTTCAGTGGGGAACTTGATACTTAGGCAATGCACTAAAATGTTAACTCTCTTTAGTGTTATGAAGAAAAATAATAGGAACAGATTTTCACTGTGTGGCCCTGGTATAGAACTCTCAGTGTAGACCAGCATCCTTAAACTCATAGATATTCTCCTGGTTCTCTCTCTCAAGGGATGAGATTAAAGCCATGTACATTTAGTCAGGCACCTGATTTTTGGCAAAGGTGTCTAAAAATATTTATTGAAGGGAAGACATTGTTTTGACTAGTATTCATGTCAACTTGACAGGAGCTAGAGGTATCTGATTGGGGGTGGGGCTGAGTTAAGAAAAATGACTCCATCAGTTTGGGCTGTAGGCGGGCCCCTATGGCATTTTATTAATTAGTGATTGATACAGGAGGGCCCACAATGGGAGAGACGCCATGGAGCTGCCGGATACAGATGCTGGGAATCTTCTTACCCGGTAAGCCACTGCCACATGACGATACACAGATTAATAGAAACGGGTTAAATTAATGTAAGAGTTAGCCAATGAGAAGTTAGAGTTAATGGGCCAAACAGTGTTTTTTAATTAATACAGTTTCTGTGTATTATTTTGGTTCTGGGTGGCAGGGACAAACAAGGGGCCCTTTTCCTATAGATTGGCACCCACATGACCATCTAAATCCACATAAAACTGAGAGCGCTTGAAAAGGAATTCTAGACAAAAAATAATAGAGTTTAACACAGCTTCTTGCTGTTTGCTGGCAGCTTGCTGAACACCTTTAAGAGAGATTTTCCTGATTTAGCCATAGCAGGAAAAAAGCAATAGCTATCTTAAAATGCCGGCTTTCTGGGCTATGCTGCCAGGGTGACTTCTGGCTCTTTCGGGAGGCCAACTATTTGGATGGGATTTATGAGCAGACTGTTGCAGCCTGCTTAATGGTAACGTGGACCAGCTTTGTGTCTGTAACTGGAGTGGTGCACGTGGCTCAGAGACCCAAGTGGCTCCACCATGCTGAACTGTGTAGAGTGAGCAGGAAGTACCATATATATCATAGTAATAGTGCAACTTAAGTTTTAGACTGTGCATAGCAAGCAGACAGTGCCGTATATGCCCTACTAATAGCACAACTTAAGTTTTTAAGAAGCAGTTTTCATTTTAAAAAGTGCTCCTGGACAGTAAAGAATTAAAGATTCACAATAGGACAGATTCAGACATAAATGGGTCACAGTGTTGGATAAATGTACGTAGGCTTAGAAGGGAGAAGAAAAAGAGTATAGAGGGTCATAAAATAAAGTCAACGATTTAATAAAAAAGGGTATAAAGTAGTTAAAGAGACAGAGTACAGACAGTCATAGATTAAAGGAGTAAATAAAAATAAGCCATGTAAAGATGGAAAATTCACAGAGAAGCTGGATTATGTATATTATTATTTTTTTATTTTTTTAACTGAAGGAGCTAAGCACAGTGAGACAGTTCATTGTATGGGCTACTAAGCTAAACAAGCATGGATATTATAAAGGTATCATGACTTCCACATTTGGGTCTAAGGATATGTTGCTTTGGAAAAAAGGTTCTTCTTTTGTTTCCACAGAAGATGAGAACCTGTGGATTCATTCCAGGCTAATATGGTTTGATAGACCACATCTCCTTGAAAGGTCACAGTGAACACTCCCCAAAAATTATGTCACCCAACTGCTGACTGAGACGAATCTAACATACAGGATACACCATGAAAGACCTGATTAACAGCGCCTGTAATCAGAGAAAGCAGTATGGACAAATCTACACCAATATTCTTAAATATTGTCTATAAATGTTTGTTTACATTTAAAGGGGGATATGATGATGGAGGTGGGTCTTGTATCTTATCTGTTGATTTCATTGGTTAATAATAAAGAAACTGCCTCGGCCCTCATAGGACAGAAAATTAGGTAGGCGGAGTAGACAGAGGAGAATGCTGGGAAAAAGAAGCTGAGGGAGTGAGTCGCCATGATGCTCCCACTCCAGACAGACGCAGGTTAAGATCCTCTCTGGTAAGCCAGCTCATGGGCTACACAGAATATTAGAAATGGGTTAGAACAATATGTAAGAGCTAGCCAATAAGAAACTGGACCTAGCCGGGCCAGGCAGTGTTTGAAAGAATACAGTTTCCGTGTAATTATTTCTGGGTATAAACTAGCCATGCGGGCGGCCGGGTGCCGGGGACGCAGCCCTGCCGCTCCTATTTCAACAGATGGCGCCCAGACGTGATGGGCTAAATCCACTTAAAAACCTGAGAAGGCTTAAAAATAAGGGAGAGAGAGTTTAACACAGATTTTTGCTGTTTTGTTGGTGGCGTGCTGTAGAGAGATTCCTGATTCAGCAACAGCAGCAGAGAAAAAAAGCTGCGTCATTTTAAAGCGCGGCTTCCTGGTGCTGTGCTGCCAGCGTGAACTCTGGCTTTAAAGCATTTCAAGGCTTTTATGGGACTGGATGTTTGTGTTCCCACTTGGGATCGGAGGAGAGTGCTCTGAGACCTGCCGATGGCTCAGCGTTCCCTGCCTACACCTGGGCAGATGGCGGAATCAGGCTTAGGCAGGCGGAAGAGCATGGCGGATTCCTGCTGCCATACAGAGACGCGTTTTCAGACTGCGCAGTGCTCTGCGTGTCAGATTTGGCTGTAACTTGGATAAAAAGAGTTTCTGTGCTGCACACTCAGTCTCAAAATTAAATTGCTGATTGCGGCTCCAATGTAAACTGCTGTTTGCCTGTAACTGTGCTCAGCTCAAAAGCACCAAATGACTCTGAGGCAGGAGCGGCTGCTCCTTGCTGAACTGTGCTGATCTCAGGCAGGAACTACCGTAATTACCTTAAAACCGTGCAGTTAAGGTTTAGACTGGGCAGGACACAGGCAGTACCGTATTACCTATACATGGTGCAACTTAAGTTTTTAAGAAATGCTTAACATTTTAAGAAATGCTCCTGGATAATAAAAAAAAAAATACAGATTCACAGTAAAACAGATTCAGACACCGTTGGATGAATGTACGTAGGCTTGGGGAAAAAAAGAGAATATAAAGAATAAAGTTAATGTCTTAAAAAGAAAAAGGGTAAAGTCTTTAAAGAGACAGAGTACAGAAGTACAGATAGTTATAGATTAAGAGAAATAAAGAAAAATAAGCCACGTAAAAATGAAAAATTCACAGAGAGTCTGGATTATGTACATTGTGTTTTCTTTAAAATTTTTGACTGTGAAGGAGCTAAGTACAAAGAGACATTTTATTATATGGGCTGCTAAGCTGAACCTGCACATATGTTCTAAAGGTATCTTGACTTCAAAATTTGGATCTAAGGATATGATGCTTTGGAGAGGGTCTTCTTTTGTTTCCACAGAGGATGTGACCCTATGGATTGCATCTATCCCGGTATGGTATGATAGACCACGCCCTCCTGAAAGGTTGCTGTGAACACCCTCAAAAAATTACTTCACTCAACTGCCAACCGAGATGAACCTGACACACAGGTTACACCCTAAATGATCTGATTAACAGTGCCCCCATTCAGCAGGAAGCAGTTTGGAGAGAAAAAACTACGCCCATGTTCCCAAATATTGTTTATAAATGTTCTTTTACATTTAAAGGGGGATATGATATAGATATGAATAATTTGCATTGGTATGGATTTTAAGGTCAATTTTGTTATATGTATATGTATTTTTGAACTTGATTAAGGTATTGTGATTATGTAGTTCACTTAAAATGTAATGTATAATTAGGAAATATAGGTTGTTAATGGATAATCATTGCTAATAGTTAAGCTTGTAGTCATGTTAGTTAGATTTTCTAGATATATAGAGATATATTTCAATTAGATAGGCATTCTTCATATCTTTCAAAGACTGCAGAATATGGCATTTAAAATATTTTAATAACTTAGGACTTTTCATGACAAGGAGACACGTCTGCTCCTGGCAGCACCAGCTACTTCAAGAGGAAGATGGGCATCGAAGAGGATCCTTATGGAGTTGGATAGTCATTTGGGCAAGAAACTGCTCTTGCCTGGACTGTTGCATAAACTGGACACAGAGAACCCTCAGAGAGAGGACTGCTGAACTTGCCTAAAGGTGAGATGGTCTTTCGGGGTTCCTGATTCATGAAAGAGTCTACAAGACATTCTACAGAACACAGCAGAAAGTGACTGAACTGTCTTTAAAATTTCCTGCTTCATGGAAATGTATCTGGATACCATGGGCCTGTAGGCCGAAGATGGATGCCCCAACGGTACAGAGGAACTTTGGGTGACTGTCCAGGCAGCGAGATGTCTCTGTCATTTCTAGAGTTTTCTTATTTCTTGTTTACTTAGATAATATTATATCCTTCTGGAGTCTTTGATGGAGTTGAAGAATAAATAGTTATAGTTTTCCTTAGTTATGATAAGAGATAAAATAGATATAAATATTGTAACTGTAATTCTTACTTGATAACTGTTTTGTTATATGTAATTTTACTATGCTAAAGTTAAAGCCTTTCTTTTTTGTTTAAACGGAAAAAGGGGAAATGATGTGGGAATGATTTCTTACTAATAAAGAAACTGCCTTGGCCCATTTTATTGGATAGAAAATTAGGTAGGCGGAGTATACAGAAGAGAATTCTGGGAGAAAGAAGGTTAGAGGAGGAGTCGCCATGATGCTCCCACTCCAGACAGATGCAGGTTAAGATCCTCTCTGGTAAGCCAGCTCATGGGCTACACAGAATATTAGAAATGGGTTAGAACAATATGTAAGAGCTAGCCAATAAGAAACTGGACCTAGCCGGGCCAGGCAGTGTTTGAAAGAATACAGTTTCCGTGTAATTATTTCTGGGTATAAACTAGCCATGCGGGCGGCCTGGTGCCGGGGACGCAGCCCTGCCGCTCCTATTTCAACAATATGATATAGATATGAACAATTTGCATTTGTATGGATCTTGGTTTATTGATACAAATTTAAGGTAAATTTTATTATATGTATATGTATTTCTGATCTTGATTAAGGTATTGTGTTTGTGTAGTTCACTTAAAAATATGTATATTTAAGAAATATAGGTTAGTACATAGTCATATATAAGATTTTTTAGATGTTTAGATATATATTTTAGTTAGATAGTTACTCTCTAAATCTTTCATAGACCTTCAGGATATGGCATTTAAATGCTTTAAAAATTTAGGACTTTTCATGACAATGAGACACATCTGCTCCTGGCAGCACCAAGCTACTTCAATAGGAAAATGGACATTGAAGAGGCTGCTTATGGAGTTGGTTAGCCATCTGGGCAAGAACCTGCTCTTGCCTGGACTGCTTAACTGGACATGCAGGACCCACAGAGAAATGACTACTGAACTTGCCTAACGGTGAGATGATCCTTCTGGGTTCCTGATTCATGAAAGAGTCTGCTAGACATTCTGCAGGACACAGAAGAAAGTGACTGACA